ACTATTAAAACAGTATGGTGAGCTATCAAGTTTGAAAATAAACCCTGCAAAGTCAGAGATCTTAACATCAATATACCAAAAGTTGAGAAGTTGAGTCTACAAAAAGACTTTCCATTTACTTGAAAAGAAAAGGAAATAGGCTACATGGGAATAAAACTAACTCCTTCAATAAAAGCCCTGTACCAGGCATATTATATCCCACTATTAAACGAAATAAAAGAGGAGCTGGGGAGACTGTCAAAAGGAGGAGCTTCCTGGATAGGTCATATAAAAAATCTAGTAAAGATGGTGATCGTATCAAAAATCCTGTATAAGTTTCACAAGCTCCCAGTGCACCTACTAGGATCTTTCTTCGGGATAATAAAGAAGATGATATTTACGTTTATTCGGGCAAACAATAAACCGAGAATTAGGTATGAGGTATTGTGTAGGGCAAAAGGGAATGGGAGTTTTGGAATGCCTAATGTTATCAAGTGGTGATATTATCACGAATAATAGACTGGATATTTACCTCACAAGGGAAAGGTTGGGGTGAATATGGAAGGGCTTCTGAGCAAGGCACAGTTAGGGAAGATGGTTTGGCTACCACATAAATTCCACACATTAGATGTGAATATTAATCCACTGGCAAAGAAAGTTTTAAGTGTTTGGGATAGAATGTATAAGCAAAAGGGATAGAAATATAATTCAGTTATGATTCCCTTGGCGGGAACAGAGTATTTCCCCCCAGGGAAGGATAATATTTCGGAGAAATGGATTAAAGATAACATTAGACGAGTGGCGGTATGGCCAATTAGGTCATTTTGTCTCAACACTCCCACAACCATTGAGGACGTCGGAGGATCTGTATCCATTCGAAAAACTCCTGAATGTAAATACAGTTCCTAAAAAAGGAACTTCCAGGATTTATAAGATTCTTATGGATATGGAGGGTACCTATCCTCCCCAGTTCTTGGGAAAATTGGAACAGGAGCTTGGAACAAAATTGGACGAGCAACAAAAGAATGAAATATTCAAATTAACATATGAGGTGGCAAATATGAGCACACTTGAAATTAATTACAAATGTTTGCCTAGATGTGTGGCACATAAACAAGTAGATGTTTCACCTCTATGTTGGAGAGGGTGTGGGGAAAAGGGAACAATGGCACACATATCGTGAGATTGCCCGAAAATACAGGATTACTGGAAGGGAATATTACAATATATTCAGGAAATATGTGGGATTACTGTACAGAGAGACCCGTGGACATGTTTATTTTACAAATGTGAACCTTTAGTAAAACTACATAAGGACAGGGCATTATATCATCTATTCAGTGCGGCTAAGAGCTTGATTCCCAAATTCTGGCTAGCCCCGGACAAACCAAGAATAAATTGACTGGGTTAACAGAGTGGAAAATATCTATAAGATGGAGGAGTTGCGTCGTATTGAGGAGGATAGAATAGAAATATTTCAGAAAATGTGGAGTAGCTGGTTAATTTTCAAAACACCTAAAAGATATCTGGAACTGCTTGGAATATAGGTGGAAGAGTATTAGAGGGAGCTCTAATGGAGTATCTGACAGAGAGAAGGAGATAGGAAGGAAGGGATACTGACATAGATAGATAATCATGAGACAGGTTTGAAACTAGGAACTTGGATATGGACTGGGGCAATTGGAGGGGGGGAGGGGGGGGGGGAGGGTGGGAGCAAGGGTGGGATAGGGGTAAAGATGATGCAAATGGAACTTATTTATTGGTGAAATTATTGTTATTTCTGTGTGCATCAGATGTTCTTTAATAAAAATTTAATAAAAGATATAATAAAAAAATTAAAAAAGAAAGCCCGGTGGCTTAGAATTTTTTGATTCGTATTTGCTGACTGAAGTTGAAACCCCTGTGTGGAATCCTGGATGGACTTTTGTTTAATTTTTTCCTTTTTAATAAAATTGGGATACCAGGCCCTAAACTATAATGGCTGTGTAAGATGGACTCACTATACAAAAATTGCATCCACCACTGAGCTAAACATCCCCCATGTCACAATACATACATACACACACACATACACAAACTCACACACATATACAGTATACACACTCACATACATACATACATACATACATGAACTCACACACATACATACACACTCACTCGTGTACACAGTACTGCATAGAAGGGAGGTGAAGCAGTTGGGACTCAGAAAGCAGCTTTCCCCATGCACAGTTCTGACCGTTACTGTCTGCTCCAGCTATGCAGTTCAATGTTTGAAGAGAGTTAGCTGTTGAGGCTGTACTAGATTACTACAAAAAATAGTGGATGACATTCCCTGCCTGGCCGAATTTTCAAGACTAGGTGGCGCTGCTGTGCTTCTCCTCCTCCCTGCGGACTGGAGTACAGAGTGACGCTGCTGTCGCATCTTCTGATAGTCTATAGCGGCAGAGCCTAATACCAGATTATCATTGGGTCTCCATGCACCTGGTGCCTACGCATTAAGACAGCCCTGCATTTGACTGCAGTTCACCTCTTTCTGACCTGCTTTTGACCAGCTTCTAATCTGTTGCAATCTGCTTCAAGCTGCTTTTGTATTCCATTTGAATTGTATGAGGAGAGGTGCAAGTTCTAAATTGAACAAAAGCATGTCAAGCACAGCTTCCAAAGCTTGAACTGCCCTTTGAGGATGTAGTGCTTCCTGAAGCACTGTAATGCACTGGTCAACAAAATGCACTGTACTCTGTAACGCACTACATACTGCCATGCACTGTACACTGTCACACACTGGACACTGCAATTCACTGTACACTGTCACGCAGTGGACACCACAATGCACTGTACACTGTAACGCACTTGGCACCGCAATGTACTGTACACGGTAATGCACTGGACACCGCAATGCACTGTACTCTGTAACACACTGGACACCGCAATGCACTGTACTCTGTAACGCACTGGACAACAAAATGCACTGTACACTATAATGCACTGGACACTGCAAGGAACTGTACACTGCAATACACTGTACACTGTAACGCACTAGACACCAAATTGCACTGTACTCTGTAATACACTGGTCACTGCAATGCACTGTACACTGATACACTGGACACCGCAATGCCACTGTACCTGGTGCCTGGTGTGCTCTCCTCCTCTCCTGTCCTGTTGCTCCTTTGGCTGCAGCAGGCGAAATCTGGGGATTGCAGGCTGCCGCTCGCTGGGTCCTCGCGGCCGAGGACACAGCAAGCAGCCTAGCTATTTGCCGGCCGGCGCTGTTTTATTTATTTTTTTTCCATTTTTTCTAAATTTTTTTCCAACTGGTCCAGTGGGCCGGATAAATGTCTTTGGCGGGCCGTATCCTGTAGTTTGAGGACCCCTGCTTTACTGCATATACAGACTGATTTTTCTGTTGTGGGTTTAGTAACACTTTAAGGTATAAACCTTTCAATAGCAGCTTCCCTCCTAAACACTTACCTTAGTCTTTTCCCGATGCAGAACTGTCCCGTCTGCAGCAGCCCTTCCCCCCACTTCTAATATTCACAAGAAGCTCTGACAGCAGTGGAAGCCATTGGCTCCTGCTGCTGTCAATCAAACCCTGTGAGGAGAGAGCTGGAGGCAGATCTGAGCCATGCTGTGTGTGTCTATGGATGCATTTGCAGAGCTTCATTCTGCTTTAAACTGCACACATAGTTTAATGAGTTATAGAAGCCGCTCTCACCTACGGTGGCCCAATGCTTTGCTTTGATTACAGATAAGACTGTCTCAGCAAGTCATCATTGTACTCTATCTTTAGAAAACACAGTATGCTTTGCAAAACCCATGTTACTGGTTCACATTATGTGTAATTTACTGGACATGTTTCCTGCCAGTTTGCCAAAGGCTTTATACTTTCAAGGTCTTTCAAATATGATAGATAGCCTTCAACCACTTTAAATGTTAAATAAAACTATATAGAGTATAAAGTGCCCCAGTGTAAAGTTCTGAGCAGCTCTGCTAGCTGTAAGGCTGAGAAAGGGAAATATTTCCTAATCTTTCCAGCAAAATCTCCAGTCTTGGTTAGAGACTCGGGACTGTGGATAGGCCTATTACTCTATTTTGTCTTCATCAAAAGGATTTTGCTACACAATGCCAGATCTCTTTACTGTCACTTGTATGGGCTTATTCTAAACAAGCAATAAATGGCTCTTAAACAAGTCCTTACACACCTCTATAGATGCATGTACTGTGGAGTAATTCATCCATTAAAATCACAACAGAGACACCTATATGGCATTGCAGTTTCTGCACAGCTTATAGCACCTGCTGTAGGTTTACATTAAAAGGCCTCGTTCACACTAAACTACAATGGCGACCGGATGGGATGGTGCACCGTAGCTGGCAGCAAAATAATATTGCAGCTGTGATGCTTGGTGGCAAAAATTATATAGCGTTGTAGATGTGGCCAGTACCACCACCAAACACGACCCATTCGAGTGAATGCACACTGTTGTGGTGTAGGCTTTTCATGGTCAAAACAGGCAGTCAGGAGGTCACATATCCAAGCCACCTATCAATCGACCCTCTGAAAAGTGATAAATTATAGATTACTTTCAGGAGGGGCAGCAAGGGCTGTTGCATATGTGAACCAGCCCTAAGGAATGAACTGTTCCACAGTGTCTGCAGATACAGAGATCAGTGAGGGATTGCTTTCTTGTGCTGCTTGTTGAAAATATATGATTCATACATTTTCACAGCATGGTCACAGGTTCACTGTATAATACAGTATACAGTATAATGAATTGTAAATGCTTCAATGTAAGAGAGAAAAGAATGGAGAGTATTTAGTGGATGATCTGGATCTCAGGTCTGTTCAGTGCCCTTCACTGATTTCATGAGCCAGTTGGTGACATTTATCTATGAACTCAGAACTAAATTCTTTTCAATTGTTAGAACCAGCTACTGTAAATGAAAGCAATGTGTTATTAACAGACCCAAAGCAATAAGTTCAAAACACAAAATAAAATAGTATCAGTCAAATACATTACCTTGTGAAACGGCATTCTCTACTGGTGCAGGGAAAGGTGGTGTAATATCCACTGTGGTCTGCTCAAGAGTTTTAGTCACTTTGGAGGCATCAGTGGGGTTACTAAGCGTCTGGGCAGGATCTGGCACAGTGGGGGGAGGGCCAGAGTTAGTGGGCAGAGGCGTCCGTCTTGGAGCAGAATTAACAGTGGGAACACTGTTATTATTGGCGCAGTTGGTGTGATTGCCCATTTTGGCTGGGCTGTGGTTGATGCCTCCTCCTCCCCCCATTGGGGGTTCATTGGTCACCAGCTTGTTGTTTCGGATGTTGTCCATGTTTTCTGGCTGTTGACTTTGGTTCTCCTGGCGAGATCGATCCTGAATGGGTCTTGTGGTGGAAAGACTTGGGCCAGAGCTGGGAGCTGGAGCATTAGGGTCCCTGCAAGTCCAAGAAAGCACCATTATCAGTAAGTAAAATAAGACAGAGGATTTTAGGAATACTGAGGCTGAAGTCCAGGAATTTATTTTTAAATATTTATAATGAGATTGCACCTTTTTTAGTGGTAAATAACATTTTGTTTAGAAGGAGATAGCTCTAGGTGTTCACTCTTTGATATACACACTCACTGGTGGGAAGCTCCATTAATAATGGATTTTCTATTTTGAACAGAGTGGAGTAATATTCAGTTTCTAGGTCTTCTGCAGTCTTGATGGAGAGAATCTATACAAGATCTTTAGATTTAATTAACTATTGTCCCCAGCCTATGTTTTCCATATAGTCTAATAAAGAAGCCATAGGAACTGACATGCTATCATCTGTCATCCAAAGAAATCTTCATAGGAGTATATAAAAAAATAATTTACACTAGTGTAATGAGTTTACTAAATGGAAAATCTGAGCCGAGCCTCTCACAACTGTGACAGGACTAAGAATTAAGTTCTTCCCACCACCTTTGACAGTAGTTAAAACTAACGAAACTATTACTTACTTCCGTCTCCGATGTCTTCTTTCCCTGTCGTCTCTCTTCACATCATTCTCATAGGTGGATTGTGCAGTGTGGCGATGCCGCCTTCTCCTTTCTCCATCAGGTCCTTCACTTTCCCCTCCACCACTGACTTCCCTTGTTCTTCCACCCTCCCTTGCATGACGAGGCCTCCTTTCTCCTCCTCCACCTCCTCCCCTACTGCCACCCCCACCCACATATTCTTGTTCTTCCCCCGTTCTGCGATGCACCCTGTGCCTGCGGTGATCGCTGTCCCCACGTGGCAAAGGGGAGCCGCTCCTACTCTCTTTGCTTCCTCCGCCTCTATGTCTCCTGGGTGGATCTTGGGGTGGTCGTACACCTCCATCCACTTCCCCTGTCCTGTCTTGAAGACCCATGTCCTGCCCATCACGAGAAATTTCCTGTTCTTTGCTGCGAGGTCGACGGCCAGATTCCTGACCCATATCATATGCTCGACTTGCACGCTCTTGAAACCGTGCTTGCTTGCGCAGATAGTCTTCTGCCCGTTGGTGAGAAAGCCGCTGTTCCAAAGGTGTCTTGCTTTCTCCTGGCCGACTTTTGTTGGTGTTGTTGTTACGGTTTTCCTGTGGATCTACGACCAGTGGCCGGTCAAGATGTGTTTTAACGTCTGGACGCATGAAAGACATTTTCCAACGCTCTTCGGGATCCAGCTCACTATACAGGGCCTCCCGACTGTTCATCAAATTCTGCCGACGCATTTCACTTGTACGCTGCTCCCAGACAGACATTGTAGTCTTCTGGTTCTTCTGCTGCTCTTTCCTACATAAGCATGAAATTTTGTTTAACAGACCCTTATAAATAAATACATTAATAAACACATGCTCATGCATTTACCAATTTCTATTTTGTATTCTACTTACAGTTAGTTTTCACTATACCTATAAAATTTATTACGCTTCATGCTACCCAGATAAGTATGTAGGCTGCCATTGCTTACATCCTTTTAGAATGCCGGTTGTCTGGCTGTATTGAGTCACTGACATATTCAGGGGCGGACTGACAACTCATGGGGCCCCCGGGCAACAGGAAATCATGGGGCCCCCTGTGTCCTGGCCCACACTCAAACCACACCCAAAAAAACCTATGAAAGGTACCAGGGGCATCTCATGGGGCCCCCTACTGACCCCAGGCCCTCAGGCACTGCCCGAGTGGCTAAATGGTCAGTCCACCCCTGGACATATTATATGCATCCAGCCAGCAAAGTCAGAGCAAGTCTGAACACCTTACCTACATACTTCTTTAAGGACAGTGACACCACAAATAGAATAAACATTGTGCACTCCAAATTTAGTAAAGTGAAGCTAATTTCAGTTGTTTTTTTACTAAGTATACATATATGTGTAATTTTATCCGACAAGTGTGTATGTCCTAAGCAGTTATCTCAGTATAAGGCATAATGAAGACAAAAAATAACAATCATTGAGGAAAGTCCAACTATGCCAATTTACATTTCCAACTGTCTTGGAATGTTAAAGTGGAAATTCACTTTCTCAATCAACATTGACTATTTTTAATCCTTATGCTACTAGCATTAGTAAATAAATAGGAAAGTATATCATATTTACTTGTTTTAAACAGTTTTTTTTTTTTTTCTTTTTACATTTTTTTCAGTTACTTCCTGGTTCCCAGGCCTAGGCAAATGATGTCATACTTCCCAGGAGTCTTCAGGAAGGGAGGAGGGGTTTTCTCAGCTAAGCACACCCCCCTGTCTGCATGCCCGAGCTAAGGGCAGATTGATTCAAAGAAGTAAATTCTACGTGAATCATCTGACTTTACTCAAGATGGTCATGGCCAGAAATGATAGGGGGTGTTTTTTGTAAGCAATTTCTAAGCAAAATAAAGCATGAAGACATGGACGGATAGGGGAGTGTGAATATTAAAAATGAATTAAATGGTGTTTTTAGTTTGTGGTGCTCAGATGCAGTGTAGTTCCACTTTAAGGTAAATATAGAAATACCATTCATTGTCAATTTGTATAAAATTGTGGTTCTAAACCCTAAACATGTTTTACCTTAATGAATTCCCTACATTAAGGTAAAAACGTACCCAGTCCTCCTTCAATCTAGCACTATTCCTATCTGTATTGGTTCTCTCCTTTCTCACCACTCTCACAGGCAGAGCGAATGCGAAGGTATGCCTCCATAGCAAGCAGCTTGGTATGGGGGCACACAAAAAAGAGGAGGAGTCAGGAGTGCCAGTAAAGGAACCCCAGAGGAGGAAGTTCTGGGCAGCTCTGCAATTCTATTGCACAGAGCAGGTAAGTATAACATGTTTATTATTTAAAAAGTAAATTACTTCAAGGCATTTTTTCCTCATCTAACCTGAAGATATAGGTAGTTGTGATGCAATTTTTTTTTTTTTTGTTTAGAAAACCTTACATACTTACGCTGCTATGGTCATGTTGGCAGCTGATAGTGGACTGACTTCTGCTACTTCCTTGGCTTTCTGTAATGCTAGTTTCTGATTGGCAGCCTCCTCTTCCTCCTGTTCATCCTGCAGATAGATGAAAGCCAATCAGAGCAACAATATTCATACTATGAACAATTTATACAAAAGGTGTTACCCAAAATATACCTTGGTTAGCTCCTGAGCATTGGCCAGATTGTCCACAGCGATAGCCAAGAAGACATTCAGCAGTGTGTCTGTGCAGAACAGGCTAAGGAACATGTCCAACCTGCTATACCTTAGCTACTAAAATTCAAATAGATACACTTAGAACATACAGTTATATTTTATTTGCTATTAGTGGCAGAATTCAGGAACTATTCAGTCAAACCAAAATTGAGGAAAGATGTTGTTGAGAACATTTTTTTAGCAATAATGGCCACTGTTTGTGAAGCTTTTTTCTTTTTCTGTGCAGCCAGTTTCTGGATCTATAAATCTCTCATACAAAATTGTTACTTTACCTTAAAGTCTGAGAATCCCATTGTCTAAGAGAATTATTTATCTAAAAAGCCTCATCTCTGGGGCAATGTCTGACCATTTGCATGCCATCTAAGCATCTCTCTTAAAATACCACTGCTTTTATTACAGCACTACCCAAACTTCAGACAGGAGAGAGTGCAGATATGGTTTTATGTCACTCAGCCCTGCTCTGTTACTTTAAGTATTTACTGTAGCCACTTCTTCTGGCAGCCAAATCTGGATTTCCAGCTAAGGTGCAAAGGAGGATGGACAATAGATTTGTAAGAATACTTGCTAAATCACAGGTTTAGCATAGGTAATACAATTATAGCTGATTTTTAATAAATATGTGTGAAATGAACGAAAGTTTTCTTGCATATTAATGAGTTCCTCCTTTCTATCTCCCAAATTTTGACTACCCAGTTTGACTACTGTAACACCTTAGTAACTGGCCTTGCATTGAACAGAGCAGTTTTACTGTAGACCATTGAGAATGTCCTTTGGTAAACACTGCACTAACTACACAATCACATTTCAAACTTTTTTTTGCAAAGCTCCTCAGAGTTTTGAAAATGTTAAGCAGGCCATACATGGGTCGAATTCCGAACAATTTTTCGATTGAAAACATTCGTTCTGTAATCCAATGATGCCAGCATGCCCGATAAACAAAATTGGGAGGAACCACGAAAATCAGCTGGCGCCATTGCCCCACTAACAGAGCGAAAATCAGACGATTACTCTTAGGTCTGATTTTCAAACTAAAAATCGTTCGAAAATCGACACATTTATGGCCGGCCTTACTGCTCGTCTTTGATTTCCACCTACCTCCCCACCCATGACCTCCTACCTAATGATGAACACCTCTCAAACTCAAGTTTAATTAATGTCTACTCATTTCTGGGGCTTCTCCAGCTGCACCTATGTAATTCATCACCTGCAACACCTGGGATCCCCAGACTTTCAAAACAAAGGGCCATCTCAATGTTCTTCATTATTTAGGTGGACCAGACCACGTCAGTGGAAGTAGAAAATGCCTCGGCATCAGTGGTCAGTGGGAGAAAGAATAATGTTCCATTGTTGGTGTATAGCACAAACAATGGAACATTATTTTAAAAGACCATCAAAAAAAGAAGTCCCAAAGAGAACAATCTGTGGCTTAGAAAAATATTTATTGAACACTATCAAAATATCAATTTGACAAGTAACCAGGGGCGGACTGACCATTCGAGCACTCGGGCACTGCCCGAGGGCCAGGGGTCAGTAGGGGGCCTCATGAAGTGCCCCTGGCACCTTTTTCATAGGCTTTTTGGGTTTGCTTTGAGTGTGGGCAAGGACACAGGGGCCCCATGATCCCCTATTGCCCGGGGGCCCCATGAGTTGTCAGTCCGCCCCTACAAGTATCCCTACACAAAAAAAAACCACAATGACAACAAAAAAAGAAGTCCCAAAGAGGTGTCCATGGGAGAAATAATCCCCCATCACTGCCATCACTGGGAAGAATATTGCCCTATCATTGCTGTTAGTGGGACAATTAATGCCCCATTGTTTGTATCAGTGGGAGGAATTTTGCCCATCATTAGTGTCAGGTGGAATAATTGTACCCTAGTTTTGGTGCCAGTGGAAGGAAATTTGCTGCATTGTTTGTGTCAGTGGAAGGAACAGTGCTCATCACTGGTGACAGAGGGAGAAATAGTGCCCTTTGGTATCACACAAGGATAAATTCTACAAGAGCTGAATAAGGCCAGCAAAAAGCCACTACTGGCCACAGTTTGAGTGCCACTTCACACCATGGCTGCCTTCTAATCTTCAGAGTTTTAAGCTTGTCCTTTAAACATATATTTAAAGCATGTCTACCAAATTTCCTAACTGTACATACTGGAGTATCCTATTATAACTGACAAGACTATGGTGATTGTATGACACTACATGTGGCTTGTCCAAGAAACCTAAACCTGACCTCCCGATAAACTAAATGCACAATTAAAATCATACACTGATTCTGTGTCACCCAGCTTTTTTCGACATTGTGGACACGAGGGTACTATACTCCACATATGGTGGAAATGCCCTGTGGTGCCTAGGTTTTGGATCCATTTATTTAATTTCCTTTATTCGGTAACGGGGGTTAATATTTGTCGATCCCCTGAAATAACTCTATTTCATTTATTGCCCACTGATATTCCTAAGAAATTGGTTAAACTGATTCTTTGTATCCTGTTGGCGGCGAGAATTACGATAGCCAAACGTTGGAAACAATCAACAATTTCGCTGGAATTAGTTAAGCAGAAACTTAATTGGATTATGATTAATGATAAATTTACTAGTATTCTTAACAACAATACTTCTAAATTTGGGAGCACTTGAGATCCATGGATTCGGTATATTTCTGCTATTTAATGGACTCTTGGCTGGCCCTCCTTCTTATTATTTTTTCTGAGTTTTACTCTTTACTTTCTTCTTCAGTTCTTTCCTCATTTTTTCGTTCTCTATATGTTTGTCTATTATTTTAATGATATTATTCATACCACCTTGTTTATGGAGCAATTTGCTCATAATCGACCAAACTTTGTTTATGCTACCAGTGTATTCCTCATTACGCTTTATTGGTCGATTCTGTTATGTTGCTACACATTGTACTTGAATTTACTGTCTTATTGTTTATGTTTTGCAACTCGGCATGTTGCATCTCCTGTCTTTCTGTATAATGTTTCTAAAAATTCTTAATAAATATATTGAAATATAAAATCATACACTGAATTGCTTTACCTATTTGGTAGATCTAGGTTGGTGACCTGACTATTTGGTAATGCAGTTAAGCAATTCAACCTGGTCACCTCCCTACCCCCAGCCTTTGATTAAACAATTAAGGAGCTACAGCTGATTGATATGTTAAATTATCTGCTCACTCTCCTCAAGTCCGCATGCTCCCTGTCAGTGCCACACATCTGGGTGGTCCCTAGTGCTGCCCCCCCCCCCCCCCCATGTACTGTACAAGAGACTAAAATGGGCTAATACCAAGTCAAATTCAGATACTTACAATACTTGCATTTAAATATACATTTAATTGTTTTTTAAATTAATACAATCCATTAAAAAAAAATTTATATCTGCTTGCAGCTTTAAGAAAAGCCTAATGGGAATTTTTCATGTAAACATAATGGCATCTTTACAATCCTCTCCAACAGGTGTTCCACCAACATGTGTACGCTAAGCAGACAAAACTGCACAGTTACTAATACAACAGTTTGAATATTTTGTCAAAAGTGCTAATGTATGCAGAGAGCAGGGCGGACTGACAACTCATGGAGCCCCCGGGCAATAGGGGATCATGGGGCCCCTGTGTCCTTGTCCAAACTCAAAAAAGCCTATGAAAAAGGTACCAGTGGCATCTCATGGGGCCCCCTACTGACCCCGGGCCCTCGGGCAGTGCCTGAGTTTCCAAATGGTCCGTCCGCCCCTGGCAGAGAGCCATAGCATATGGCCGTCACAGGAAAAGCAAGGGTGTCTTTGACTTGCATCTGACTTTACCTCCTCTGTGGTATGCATGGGACAAGATAGCAGAGCCAACAGAGGTTTAACTGGATCTTGGACTACAGACTGCAGTACAGTTTTGCTCACCTATAACACATGAAATTCTTTATTCTTTTCTGTGGACATTGGTACAGGAAGGATTGTATAAAGGATACAGTTTCCAAAAAGAGTCAGAATGATGAAATAGATGGAGAATACCATTCCTGATTTGACCCCACCCTGAGCCTTGATGCCATCATACATTACTTCATTCCAGTCCTCCCCAGTCAGTATCTAAAAGTGAGGAAAACCAGGAAGGGTGAGTTTGTAAAAATAGATAAACATACTTAATGTTAATGACATAACCAGTTCCCATACCTGGAACACAGTCATTATTGCTGCAGGAAAGTTATCAAAGTTTGTAGAGGGGGTTTTGTCATCAAAATTAAACCTGTTAACAAAAAAAAAGATGTTATTATGCACAGCTATTACTCTGAGCACCTGGTGGGCAGACAGATGGATCTGCAGAAGGTAAACTAGAGAAAGTCATGTGACATCTGTCACCTATCTTTAGCTTTTGTCCTTCCCAAAAGTCTTATGCCTGCAGCTTTCTCTTTTTGTGTCTGTTACTAGAAAATGCAGGTCAACATCACGTCATCCCATCATCACATATTCCGCTTTGCACATACAGCTACTTACTGTCCACCAAACAGCTGCATCCCCAGTAAGGCAAAGACCACAATGAAAAGGAAGAGCAGGAATAGCAAGCTGATGATGGATTTCATTGAGCTCAGAAGGGAGATCACCAGGTTACGGAGGGATGCCCAATATCTGCACATTGAAAAAAAAAATGAGAATAAGATGAAAATGGAAGAGAAAGACATGCCTCAATAATCTGAAATCAGATATTTTTAATTAAATGAAAAATTTAGCTGACCCAAGCTTTGCATCTAATATAGCAATATAAGATAACCTTTTTATAATTTATCATAACTACCGGTAACTTTTCCCATGCTTCTTCTAAATGCAAGGTGTATATGTTGAGATAATAAAATCGTTCTGTGCATTTCATAGCTAAGTGGGTTTAATCAGGAAGGCAAAAAGCTCACCAACGTATGGGTATAGCTGCTGCCGCTCGAAGAGTGGACACTAAGAAAGCATACCTCTGCATATGCATCACAAGCTCTGCTTACAGAGAAATGGCGGGGGGGTGGCATGGAGAAAAAAAAACAATTTTCTTCATATAGTTTATAATTCTGAATGTGGATAAGGAACCACATGCAAAGTGAGCTGACTACTAACTTACCAAACATAACCTTAATTCCAACCTTTTTGCCCCCCCTTTACTCCTTTCCGTTCTGTTTTTTTGAGTTTCGCACGCATATTAATGAGTGTTATGCATCAAATGGATGGGCTGCCAACACACCAGAACATATTGCTCATATCTCATAGGCTTACCTGTAGGTAGAACTGAAAAAATGACTTTACCACCACTAGCCATTTAAGCTGTAGCCTAATCCACAAGCATGAAACGTAAACTGAATTTAAAGACATACTCTGAACCCAAGGCAAGATTCACATCTTTGTGGTATGTTATCCCGTGTGTTACCGTGTGTTATGGTAAGGCAGTCCATTCATTCTAAACAGGCTTCCAAAGCACAACACAATGTACCTGCCTTTTTTTCCAGTACATCACAACATATAGGTGGGAGGTGGCAAGCTAAATCATTGTCCCGTTGTTTGGGGATGTGCATTGGGGTGGCATTCAAAGTGACATATAACACAGTGTGGTTCACTTGTTACCACAACATGAATATGTGGATCCAGCCTAAACCTTAGGTGAAATTGATATCATGATAATAAATGCAGCAGTAGCATCATCAATAGAGACAGCTTGTGGTAGGGGAGGTGTGAAGAGAGGAAGAAATAGAGCAACAAAAGGTTGTCTTAATGTTCAAGCTAGGCCAATGAAGTAACTGAGAAAGCCCTGACAAGATGTAGCTCCGTTGGCACGACATCTGGGAGATGGAGGGATCTCAGTTAAGTTTTGTCACCAGAGCCACTTCTGACTATGCTCCAGAAACTGAAGCATTGAGGGGAAAAGATTCTGCTTGCTTTCTCAGTCAAGCACCTGCATCACTAAGGAACATTCTAACAGAATGTTCAGTGAGCCTCACCCAAGGGCGTTATACTTGGCGGCATAACTAGGTTCTCAGACAGCTAACATTAATCTTGGAACAGAGGCAGTGCTCTCCCACAAACAAATCCTTATTAAATGCAGCAGGAAAAAACAGCAATTGGCTATGAATTAAAAGGTAAGATAACAACTGGGCTGCAAAATGAGAGAGAAGGGTATGGAACTGTGGGGGTACACCTGGTATCAATGTTCAGCCTCCTGGAGACATAATGGGCTCATCAATTAAGCGTCAAAGTAGGAGAGTGCCCATCATATATACAGCTGACTTGTTGTGTCATTTCCACCTACAGTTAAAGTGGTGGTAAAGTCATTTTTTCAGTTCTACCTACAGGTATTACCAGTAGGTATTGTAAATATCTCCTAAACGTGCACTGTTTAGGAGATATTTACTTGTAAAGGAACAACAGCTCTCCTTCAGAGCTGTGTGCTGTAAAAAGTGACGTCATCGCGGCTTGGCCATTCACGCCGCTAGAGCCCATGAACCCAGAAGAAGGACCAGGTGAGAATGGAAGCCCTGTCAGTGGTGAAAGCACGTTGCTGGGGGGCTTCGTTTTAAGGTAAGTTTCACATAATGTGCTAGTATGCGATGCATACTAGCACATTGTGCTATTGTCTTGCAGGGGGGTTTTGTTAAAAAGGTCGCAGTTTACTACTGCTTTAAACATGAATAATTTTTTCAGTCCTCACATTGTTTTGCAGTCTTACCCATGGATAATTTTTCTTTGCCCCCCTCGTCTATTTAAAGTGATTCTAAAAGTTTGCTATGGGGGCACTTGTGCAGGTTCAGTCTCGAGCCAGACTGTGTTTGTCTATTGACACATACAGTGTGGCTTGGCCCTTCCCCCTCCTCACAGGATTTTATTGACAGCAGCAGGAACTAAGGCTGCCAAGAGTCTTGTGAGGAAGGAGAGAGGGAGCAGTGCTGCTAAGGCAGGTATTTAGGGGGTGTTGGGGGAAAGCTGATCAGACAGAAGGTTTTTTTTGCCTTAACCTCTTGGCGCTGGGCGACCGCAAATATGCGGTCTCCCGGCGTCTGGGCCTGGACGGCGAGCGGCCGCACATTTGCTTCTATTAAAAAAACACATGTGCTGAGAGCACGTGCCCTGCATGCTCCCAGCACACACATACGGTACTCTCGGAAGGGTCCCGATCTCCTCTTTCAACCTTTTCCGATCATGTGACTGCCGTGACAGCGAATCACGGCAGTCACATGACCCTAAAACCCCGCCCCGCAAGAAAAAGTCTTAGAAAAGCAGTAGAGTCCGAGTCACTTACTTTGTAACCTTGAAAATGCGCAGCAAGCGGAGGGCTCTTAAGACGCTGATCCCAAAAGAGGTTCCAGGCTTCACCATTGCCCAAATGACCTCAAATATACTCCCAGTGATAACCTGGACAGAATAAAACAAGCACTTATTTGCGGGAAGCACACATGTATACAGATAAGGGCAATTGGCAGCAACAGTGAACTGCCTGGTGTCTCTGTGGTGCTCACTGAATCAATAGGATATCTCATGATGTTTATTTGTAGTGCGGGTTGTGCTACTTTTAGTGTACCTGGACACTGTGTGAGAGCAAGAAGACAAATAGGGATAGATTTACTAAAACTGGTGCACTCAGAATCCGGTGCTTCTGTGCAGGGGAGCCAATCAGCTTCTAACTTCAGCTTGTTCAGTTAAGCTTTGGCTATAAAACCTGGAAGCTCATTGGTTTCTATGCACAGATGCACCAGATTTTGCACTCTCCATGTTTAGTAAATATACCCCCTAGTGCAGGGGTGGGCAACTGTGGCCCTCCAGCTGTTGTAGAACTACAAGTCCAATGAGGCATTGCAAAACTGACAGTTACAAGCATGACTCCCAAAGGCAGAGGCATAATGGGATTTGTAGTTCACCAACAGCTGGAGGGCCACAGTTGCCCACCCCTGCCCTAGTGCACAGGAATTATTTTACTGCCTGTAGCAGATCCGATGTCCACCAAAGACACAATTTGAATATACAGATGTCAATATTCACTGACACTCTATTTCTGGATATTCCACAGGTGTTTTATTTCCTGTTTTAACACTGAGTAGAGTGTTCATGAATACTGACAGCAGCATTCATCATGGAACACACCTGCAGGCCGCTATTAACAGGATTATCCTACATCCCACAATAGATACCTTCTTTAAGAAAACAAGCAGCAGCTCACTGATTAGATTATTATTTTATCTAACAGGTTCCGGATTATTGTTACAATATAACCCTTAAGGCTGTTACACAAGGGACAAATATCGGCTGGTTCAACAGAAACCAGCCAACGTTCGGCCTGTGTGTACAGCTGTGCTTCTGAAAGAAGCCAGTTTAAGGACCGGTTTTTGTCAAAGGGACATGCTGGAAAACCAGCATCCGGTCACCGCTCACAGCCAATAGTTGTGAGTGCTGGTCAGGAGCGGACTGACAACTCATGGGGCCCCTGGGCAATAGGGGATCATGGGGCCCCTGTGTCCTCACCCACACTCAAATCACACCCAAAAAAGCCTATGAAAGGTACTAGGGGCATCTCATGGGGCCCCCTACTGACCCGGACCCTCGGGCAGTGCCTGAGTGCACGAATAGTCAGTCCACCCCTGGTGCTGATTAGTGTGTTCTAGCGGGGTGGGGCATCCACCTGTCAGAACACAAAAGTACAGGAAGAGTTAGTATGGTTAGTTAGTTCACGATCTCTCCCGCTGGGTTGAACAAAAGAAAAAACTGAATGTGTGTACCAGGCATTACTGTTGGCCATACATGGATTAAAATTCGGCTGGCTCAGCAGGGAACTGGTCAAATTTTGATCTATGTATGGGCACTGAGGTTGAACAGAATTTGATCTACTGACTCATCTATGGCCAGCTTTAGTGGGTACAGCCATGTTGGGTAATCAACTGAAGTCACCACATCAGAGCTGTGCCAAATGCTCCAGACTCTGTTTAAATGTCTGTGGTGATTCTGAACTTCAAGAGCTACGGTCTCCAGCAGAATCTTCAGTATTTGTGCTGGATGCCTGCAACCACTGCCACACACTGAGATTCCATCCACTGGCCCCTTTGTTACTACAGGACACAGTAGGGATGTAGGGATTAACAGATGGAACCACAGCATGCAGCACAGGACCAGATATTCAACACTCCTAGCAGTGCTGAAGATTCTGCTGTAGAGCAAAGTTCAGACTCACTGTTCTAAAAAAAATCCCTGCAATAAAAGACTCTTATTGCTTACCTATTTGGGGAAGGGACAGAATCACTTTAACCTCTTAATGAAAAAACTAAACTTAAAGTGTCACTAAACCCACAACAGCAAAATCAGTCTGTATATGTAGTAAAGCATGCTTGTTATGCTCACTGTGGAACCTAAGGGGTTAATCCTCTGTATTGTGTAAAAAGGCTGTTTGATCCTGACTTCTCTGATTATCCCCTTCTTCCAGTGTCCCCCTTTTATCTCCTGATAAGACATATGTGTGGAGCAGGGGCGGGCTGACCATTTGGAAACTCGGGCACTGCCCGAGGGCCTGGGGTCAGTAGGGGGCCCCATGAGATGCCCCTGGTACCTTTTTCATAGGCTTTTTTGAGTTTGGGCAAGGACACAGGGGCCCCATGATCCCCTATTGCCCGGGGGCCCCATGAGTTGTCAGTCCGCCCCTGGTGTGGAGACACTCTGCACCAGATAGAGTGAATGCAGGGTCCTGGGTTTAGTAACACTTTAAAGTTCACCTTTTTAAAAAAATACATGCACATTTTTTGTAGATCAAAAAATGTGCATTTATTATGTTTTTTTCTCAGGAACCTGTTAAGATCCTGCAGACTGTCAGTACAGCTGTCCCCCCATACCTCCCATATGGACAGGCAGCCACCAAAGCTCAGGAAGAACAATGAACCCTCACAGTTCATTGAGAACTACAGGCTGTTAGCCGCAATGGAAGATGGTATATGTAGTCTATTCATTCACATTAAACTGTGAATGAATGATGTGGCCGCGTGGGCGGAGCCACACGTGACCGTTTGGTCGGCACTCCAACCCAATGGAGGATTGGGGTGCCGGCAGGTACTTTAGTAACATCATAGGTTACACCCTGAATATCCATATCACATGTTACTAAAGGTGAACTTATTTTTTAATGCTCAAATCGAGTTTTGCAACTTTGACATGTATTAGAAAAACTATACATATCTTTGCAACTACTTACTGCATTCCGGTGACATATACATTGTTTTGTTCAGAACAAACTGGTCCTAAATTTGGTTGGAAATATTAAAGAAACTTTCACACAAACTTGCCTTACCCTTTTCTTAGCACATTCTCCCCTAGTATATTTACCTAAATCTTGCACTGAGGCCCACAATATTGTTTACATTTCTCTGGCAGCTTCCTGATTCAATGTTTTTGCATGCTCAGCTTGGCTGGAAGACGAATTGACTTCTGTCTACCAATCCCATAGAATTAGATGGGGCTGAATTGTGCATGCAGGAACACTGACCTCGTCAAGGAATGTAAACAATGCCATAGGCCTCAGAGTGAAATCTAGGTAAGTATAGTGATTTGTCTAACACCTGATTTGGGGGGCAGAAGGGTAAGGAAACTTTGTGTGAAAGTAGCCTTACGTTTTACAGTGCCTTGAGAAAGTACAGGGTCAATCTCAGAAGAAAACCTGTTCTGCGAAAGACTTGAGACCGGGGTGGAGGTTCACCTTCCAGCAGTACAATCACTGTAAACATCCAGCCAGAGCTACAATGCAATGGTTTGGATCAAAGCATATTCATGTGTTAGAATGGCCCAGTCACAGTCCAGACCTAAATCCAATTAAGAATCTGTGGCAAGACTGGAAAATTGCTGTTCCCAGACGCTCTCCATCCAATCTGACAGAGCTTGAGCTATTCTGCAAAGAAGAATGGGCAGAAATGTCCCTCTCTAGATGTGCAAAGCTGGTAGAGACATCCCCAAAAAGACTTGCAGCTGGAATTGCAGCAAAAGGGGGTCCTACAAAGTATTGACTCCGGGGGGCTGAATACAAATGTACGCCACACTTTTCAGATATTTATTTGTATAAAATGTCGAAAACCATTTATAATTTTTCTTCCATTTCACAATTATGTGCCACTTTGTGTTGGTCTATCACATCCAATCCCATTAAAATACATTTATGTTTTTGGTTGTAACATGACAATATGTGGAAGATTTCAAGGGGTATCAATACTTTTTCAAGGCACTGTAACTTGTGCTGCATAATGCTCAGGCACCTCTGGCCGTATTATTCATATACTGAATACTGTCATTATTATGTATTAGCAGCACTTGTCAGAATACATTTTTTTTTATGATAGTGGTGCTTTAAGCAAGTCCAAGCAGCTATTCTTTGAGCATTTGAAAAAAAAAACCTAAATGGGTTTAGTAAGTTTATCTAATTAAAATAATTGTTCACATGTAATTAAATGAAGTGACCGTATTCTTACAGCTGCAGAAGCAACTTACTTCTACAAGACCAAAATATATATTCCAGTACTTATCTGTGTATATTTTAATAAAATTATACTTACGGCACAGTCAAAGCAGTTAAACGATGAATGAAAATAAGGCCTGGTTCCAAGACCGTACATTTTTATAAACATTTCGGACATAAAGAGCCCAAGGAAAATGAATTCTGCATAGTCTGCAAGAAGAGAGCAGAAGATTATCAGATCTTTCCGCATTTCCACTTCTGTGTTATACATATTTACTGGTAGCAGCTAAAAGGAAAGTGTTTGTCTGTATTATTAATAGGAAGCAGGCAGATTTTTCCTGTCATGACAAGTTAGAAAATAAAAGAAATTGGTAGGTGTGAGTAACACAGACACTTCTCTTTCAAACACTTAAACACAGGAGTCATTTGCAGTTATTAGAATTGTATGTCAGGGCAAAATTAAAAAAGAAAAAAAAGAAAACCTTATCAGTACAACACAGTAATACTGTACATGCAGATTTCCTGATGCTTTATCCCTTTCAAATCACTGCAAGTATAGCAAAATACACTCTGATCTGCCAGAAATCCAGTGTGCTCCTGACTTTCTAACTTCCTGTTTGAGTTGTTAACACAGCGCCTCTGCTGCACTGAAATCCCAATCAGTTCTGTCTGCCGCAGCAAAGAACTCCACCTATTCCCCACAGCTTCCTCTTCTGTGTCCAATTCCTCATAAAAACATTAATTTCCTTCCCAGCAAAACAATGCTACTGTGACTCCCATAGGCCGGTTCACACACTATGTGTAAGAAAAGGGCTCTTGGGAGATGAGGAGTACCTATGTCAATATTATTATTATTATACAGTATTTATATAGCGCCAAAGGGTATGCTCAGCGCTGTACAGTAGCAAGGGGGACAGAACATGAGACAAGACAGTAACAATACAATACACGAGGGGTTCGAAGCCCTGCTCTTTCAAGCTTACAATCTAGGAGGGAGGGGAAGGTGGCACAGGAGGAGATGGCTGTGGGGGATGGAGTGGTGGGTGGAGTGGGGGATTAATTGTTAGGTGAGGTCGTGTGTTAGGTGAGGTTGGGGTAGGCTTCCCTGAAGAGGAGGGTTTTCAGGGTGCGCCTGAAGGTGAGGAGGGTAGGTGACATTCTGATGGATTGGGGTAGGGAGTTCCAGATGATGGGGGAGGTCCTAGAGAAGTCCTGCAATCGGGTGTGGGAGGAGGAGACCAGAGAGCTAGAGAGCAGGAGGTCCTGTGAGGAGCGGAGGGCACGGGTAGGGTAGTATCTGGGTATCAGGTCAGTTATGTAGTTCGGGGCGGCATTGTGAGTGGCCTTGTAGGTCAGGGTTAGCAGCTTGAACTTGATGCGTTGGGCAATCGGGAGCCAATGAAGGGATTGGCAGAGGGGGGAGGCAGATGTGGAGCGCTTAGTGAGGTGGATGAGTCTGGCCGCTGAGTGTAGGATCGACTGGAGTAGGGATAGTGTTCGTTTGGGTAGGCCGGTGAGAAGGGAGTTGCAATAGTCCAGGCGTGAGATGATGAGGGAGTGTACGAGTTGTTTGGTGGTGTCTGGGGTGAGGAATGTGCGTATCTTGGAGATGTTGCGGAGGTGGAGCCTGCAAGATCTAGATAGCAGTTGGATGTGGGGTAGGAAGGAGAGGTGGGAGTCCAGGGTGACACCCAGGACTTTGGCGTGTGGGGTGGGAGAGATGGTGGCGTTGTTAGTAGTGATGGAGAGGATGGGGGGGGCACGGGGGGGGGGGGAAAAGACCAGGAGCTCGGTTTTGGATAGGTTAAGTTTGAGGAAATGGAGCGACATCCAGTCTGATATGTCGTTTAGGAGGTGGGCGATGCGGGCAGAGAGTGAGGGGGTAAGGTGGGGGCTGGAGAGGTAAATTTGGGTGTCGTCGGCAATAGGAGCCAAGTTCTCAGCAGCTGCCCCTACAAGAATGTTATAATCCTGGTGATGATGTCACAGAGAGTAATGAAAGATGTTTTTCACCACAGGAGAAAAATAAAATAAAACATTATATGGGAAGAGGTCATAGAGGTAGCGGGGGTAAATTTGTGTAATGTCTGAACATACACTTTTAGTTAAGTAATGGGCAAGGTATATATTTGTTTTCTTTCTGTTTTAACTCTCCCCTTCTGTAACTGCTCTAATGTAATCCAAGCAAGTAAGCAGCCAGGTGATTTATTCTGTTGTGTAATTGTTTTCTGGTACCTTTCTAGTGAGACCTTGTTGCAAGAAAACACAGGGTGGATCTTCAGCTGCCCATAGATGGAGTGACATTTGGCTGGTTCAGCAGGGACCAGCTGAATTTCAGTCCAACTATGGCTGTTTCCACTCAACAGAATTTGATGTCGATCAGCCTGGCTTGCAGCCAGGCGACTGCAGCCGCTGATCACGGTTATCTGACAGCGCAGGAGTCAGAATACAATGGCACAAAAGGGAGGATTCCTCCACCCACATAGCATGTGTGGATGGGGGAATCCGTTCACTTTGTTTCAATCCATCTCCTGGCTGATCAAAAAAAACAGACAGATGCTATGCAGGCAGTGTGTTAAGTCCCATTTTGGGGGTGGGGGCTAAGCAAGAACAGTATACTGCTATATGTTTATCTCTTTTTTTAAATTTATTTCAGGTACTTATATAGCGCCGTCAATTTATGCAGCGCTTTACATATATATTGTACATTCACATCAGTCCCTAACCCTCAAGGGGTGTACAATCTAAGGTCCCTAACTTACATTCATATATACACATACTAGGGACAATTTAGACAGGAGCCAATTCACCTACCAGCATGTCTTTGGAGTGTGGAAGGAAACCGGAGTACCTGGAGGAAACCCACACAGGCAAAGGGAGAACATGCAAACTCCAGGCAGGAGGTGCCGTGGCTGGGATTCGAACCAACGACCCGAGTACTGCCAGGCGGAAGCGCTAACCATTTAGCCACTGTGCTGCCCACCTCTATGTTAAAAGATATCAATAATCACTAACTTGTATATGTATTCCTAAATCTGTTGTTACTTCCTCCCATATTTTCCAATCTCTGCCACCACCTTCAAATCATGTATGTTTCCTTTTCTCTCAATCCCAGTTCTAAAGGTCTTATACAGCATCTCCTCTGAAAGGGGTCCATATAACATATGGCTTCTGTAATGCCAATCATCTCACAACCTCACCGACAAATACAGAGCAGAACACAGCATGCATGAACAATTACTGGAAGGAATGTCTTATGTGTGAAAAATAACTTAGAAGCTGCTCTCTAAAGTGAAAAGCTTGTTTTGCAGTTTTAAAGCAAAGTCACAGAAGTAATGCAGCAACTCACAGAGAAAATTAGTTAGCTGTTCAGGCTGGCCGTAGTGCACAATCGCCACGCACAGCGTGTTTAGAGCTACGAGGCCTAAAACCACCCAGTAAAAAGCCTGAGTCTTCACCATACGCCGAATGTAGAAACGTAGGCGTCTTTCCTTTTTGTGTAAATATGAAGAGTTCTCCATCTTGGCACTTTTAATACTGGCACGGGCAAAAGGGGAGCCTGTGGGTAGAGACAGAAAAGAAGATGTGAAGAAATACATAACTGTAACCATCGGCTTAAAGTGAACCTGACATGTTCCAGAAAGGATCTAAGCTCACAATACTACTCTGCCTATATGTTTTCTCCAAATATCTGTTATTTTGCAGCTTTATTTCTTTGTCACTGTAGAGACCCTTGAATCCTTAGTCTAGGCCACTGTTTCTTAACCTTTTTTCAGTCAAGGCACCCTTTTAAATTATGAATAGTCCCGAGGCACCCTTTAACCTCCTCAGCGGTATGATTCTTTCCGATTTTTTGTGCTGAAAGCGGTACCATTTCTTTGCATGGAGATATGTAGTTTTTTATTGTAGGCTGTAATTTTTAGGAATAACTCACTGAAATCTGTCCGAACAAGAGTCTAGTAAACATCCCGGGTGGGATAAAACTTGAAACACGAAATCATAAATTATAATTGAATAAATAATCATAAAAAAATAATAATATAATAATAATAAATTTAATTCAATAATATAATCAAACCAAAAACACTGAAATTTGAAATACAGAGGCAAATTCGCACATCGCTGAGCAAAGTCGCAGAATCGTTTTCAGTGTCTGATGACGAATTTCCCCCACGAATCATTATCACTCAATTCTGCAAGTGGTTCTGATTTACTATCGCTGTTCTCTAGCTGGTCTAAAACCGCTTTTGACCTAAAGGGACGCTTTTTGGACGCCATGGACTTTTCTAAGTTTCCAGGCAGAAAGAACAGTCAAAATGCAGGCAGGGCGCCGGACAAAGCAGTAGGGACAAAATATATGTGAAATGGGTTGAAACAGCAATGACAGCAAAAATGACATTTTTTTAAAAATTTCAAATTTGCCGCCGGTTCCGGCGCCCGTACGTCCCGACATCACAGGGACCGGAACACGGAAGCCGGATGCCGGCATCGGCCGGAGGAGATGGCCAGGGACGCTGCAGGGGACACATCGCGGGAGCGAAGGACAAGGTAAGTGCTGCAGGGATCCCCAGAGCAACGCCGCATGGTAAGCCCGAGTGTAGCTCGGGGTTACCACTCTTGGTACTCAAATTTTACCCCGAGCTACACTCGGGAATACCGCTAAGGAGGTTAAAGTTATGGACAATCTTGAGGCACCCCATTCAAAAATGTGAAAAACTATTCTAATAGTTTTCTATAACGCAGCAACATCCACACATGTAGGACACCCAACACTAGAGGTGATTTATTCTTCCAAACCAAATACACTTTTGCATGCTGGTACTGACTAGTATTCCAATGTTTCTCTTCTCCCCCAGTTTTTCTCCATTTTCAGTTTTTCTCCATTCACTGTCAATCACCGGGTAACGGCCGGTGATTACTTGCCGGCGCCCGGTGATTTCCAACGATCTTCAACGGGGAGAACTGTTTTGTTTACTAATAGTTCTCCTCCCTGTCAGCTCGGGCACACTGCTTTGGATGGCTGCCATCCAAAGCAGTGTGCTTACAGTGAAGCACACTGACACGGCTCCCTATGTAAAACACTCCCAGCACACAGTTAACCCTTTGATCGCCCCTCATGTTAACCCATTCCTTCCCAGTAC